GAAATTTCGCCTGATCACATTTGAACTGTCTCAGATTCGGGGTGCGTTTAAGGCCAGAGAGTAACATGGGAAAGCTGTTAGTATGTACGAACGACTGTCGCTTGAAGTACATATTTGATTTACAATGGTAGCTGAAATGAGTTGAGTTCAAATAATATTTAAAATCGAAAACGAGATTTTAATAGTCCCCGGTTCGATTTGATTAAGTATAAGCTTTTGGTAAGTACTAATATCTTATTCAACCAGTCACACAATGAAGGAGCGCGAACTCTAAAATAGGATGTTTTTTGGCGGCAATGACAAGACGCCAATGCGAGAAAAAGCGGCATTGGCAAGACGCCAATGCGAGAAAAAGCTAATGCGATTTGTGGATAAATTGCTCTACCGAGAGCCAATCAGATCACAAGGGCCACAATGGATGTAATAAAAGGATGAATTTGTTACGATTGTTTTTATTCAAGTACTTGTTACTGTCCGTCTACATTCCTTTTTTGGCAAAGTAGTTCCCAGGGTCTTGTCTTTCTGGGAACGTTTTCCCCAGGAACGAAGTTATGTGTTATGGCGTGGTTAGCCCTTTCAACTCACACAATCTGACTGTTAATTCTCCCCTCTTGCAACTACTTGTGACTTGGTAAGAAGGTTACGAGAATTTTGCGTTAGATCAAGATAGCAATTACTAACTGATAAGTTTAAGTATTCCCAATACCTGGTAATTTAACGGAGTTGAAAACGTAAATTGACCACCGTAAAGAATTAAAAGGCTGAATTTGGAGCTTTAACCCTTTTGCTCTTGAAAATACTCAAAATTTGCTCATTTTTAGTATGAAAGTCATTTTCAAGAGCGGTTTTTCTTAAAACCCTTACCACGACAAATCAACGCACGGCAAATGGCAGATCAATCTTTTCTCTACCAAAATCCGTTCTAATTTCGGAAATTGGCTAACGGGATCCTTTTCGGTTAAGAAATTTTTAGTCGAAGCTGCGTTCAAAAATGGTGCGTTTTGAGCGAGCGAGCCATTGTCTTCGGCCCAGCCATGAAAAACAATGCACTTGTTAAACTTAACAGTATCCAATGCTTTAACCCTTTCGCTAGTAAAATTATTCACAATTACCGCGAATTTCAAAACTGCCACGTGAATCCACTGTGAAACCTTCGCTTTACAGACAAATCATGACGACGAGCATCGACCAGCAAACTGTTAGTTAGGTCGGGAGCTCTTTTCAGAGCTCAGTGAATTCCTGATCGTCCTGCAATCCGTATGCGATCGGAAGCTGATGATCAGTTCCAGTCCAGCGATAGCACTAGCATAAAAAGCTCGATAGAAATAGCGAATTTGTTCGTGTTTGTTGTTTGTTCGTGTGCTCTACATCGTTCGCTTTTCCTTTTATCGGCTCGAAAAAAGCTTACGTTAGCGCGATTTACAGACTTTATTTTGTACTTCATTTTCGATAAAAGAAATGTTTCGATGAGACAATCGAGTCCTAGTCGGGAAATAATGGAAAACACCCGCTGTTTGTCAAACTACCGTAGACTTGATATGAAGCGTAATGTTTGTTGATTAAGTTTTGGCGAGATATGAACAAATAATTTTCTCTGGTAAATATCGAACGCATATGGCAATTACAAATTGAGCGCTTGAAATGGCCAGGTTCAAATTTGATATCAGAAACAATAGATGAAATAGCAAGTTACGATCGAGGTCTTTGTTTCATAGCTCCACCTTGACAAGCTAATGAGCTAAGGCAGTATTCTCTTCGGAGGAAAGCGCGCGTGATCCTCGACCAATGAAAGCCTTGCTGTTAACGCTTCGCCGCTAATGTTACAGATCTATAATATTTTCCTCACTGCAAGTAAATGTCGCGATAACAATAGGTATTCTGCCCAAGGCTTGGTTCTCTGTTCTCAACCATTTTACTATGGGTTTTCAAGCGAACCCGCAAAATTTCGTGAAACATGCGAATAGATTTTAGCTCTGTCCACGCCGTTAGC